TTTGTTAAACTCATGATGGTTAATAAAATACATGTTCCTATCTTCTTTATCTGTGTACTTAGTGCACTGGCACGCCAGCATTATTCCCTTACAAGAAGCCGCTTAAGGCGGATTTTCTGGTGTCCAAACATGTAATAATTGTAATATACCTCCGAAACATTTAAAACACTTGAAACATATATTTACAACATAAGGGAGGCGAAGGCTGGCGTCGGTCGATTCCGGTCGTCGGGGTGAGATTCGGCGGCGAGTAGCGGCGCGCGAGCACCACTAGCACCAGCAATAGCCGCGGCGACGAGCGAGCACCACCACCACCAGCACCGGCCTTGTATCCACCGGGCGGGCGACGCGTGCTACAGGAGGGAGCGGGTGGCGCAGCGCATGGCCGAACTGAGGAGCGAGGTGCGGGTGGGGAGCGCGATGGGCAGGGAGATAGGAGCGAGGAGCGAGCGTCGCGGGTAGGACGCGCGACGGGCGGGAGCGTGGAGCAAGCGAGCGAGTGGCGCAGGGTGAGGCATGTAGTGGAAGAAGGCCGCAGCAGCGAGTGGAGTGAGGCGCACGGATGGGAGCATTATCGTTTTCTTTCTTTAGTTCCTTTCTTTAATCTTTTATTTCTCTATTTGTTCCTTGCTTCCAATGGCATAAACTAGCAATGCGTTGCGACCCATGGAAATAGCATGCGATCCGGGCGCTCGTGGCCAAGGATTACCGTTTTCTTTCTTTAGTTCCTTTCTTTAATCTTTTATTTCCCTACTTGTTCCTTGCTTCCAATGGCATAAACTAGCAATTAATGCGACCCATGGAAATAGAATGTGTGGTAAGCTTTTGTCATTGTAATCTTTAAGTTCTTTTTTTACTTGAAAACAATTTTAAAAAAAGGATTGTTTATTTGTTTAACTATAATTGTCTTCTCTCGATGCTCCACAACAGCATCTATCGGCACGAACTCCATAAAGCTATTGTCTATATATAGCTTGGCTTAAAGACTTCTCCTCTTCCTTTTTATTTCACTCCTATCCTGTGGCAGTGTAATTTCTGCCTATCCATGTAGCCTTCGGTTCATTGATGAGCTCGATAAATTCGCTGTCCAAGTATCTCACAAAATTTCTAATTATTTAGCTATTTTGTAATTTCAGGTTTTGATTCATCTTGTACCTTTATTATAGATTCATAGTTGCATTTTTTGACCTAAACCATTACCAGATTTGTCCGAGTGCTGCTCATGTTTGCTGGGGCCATTGGTTGCCTCAAGCAGCTGCTAGCCGACCTCGTAATCTCACCAACATCAATTACCGCAAGCATACAAAAAAGAAACTATGCAGCTACCACTGACACTAGTGAGTTGCGCTGATCTCTGGCATACTGCTTATGCCACTCCAATGCATTGTTGTGAACCATGCAATGACCATGTTTCTTTTCCACGATTTGGAGGCCCGTACCTACGATTTGGAGGTACCTGAAACGAAATGCGTGATGTGGCCCTAAAATTTATAAGAAAATAATATAACAAAAGCGTACTTTTATTCATTATAAAGCTTCAAATATACGTTGTTTTTTTTTTTAGAATTACACAGTACAACGCAGACGCATACTCACCCCCTATGAACACACGTACGCAAACCCTACCCCTATATAAGCGTCTCTGAAGGATTGAGCCGGCAGATTTCGAGATTCACGAAGTGACCACTACACCTCGCTATCGGCGGAGACGTCGCCTATCAATGAAAGCATAGTGCCGTTAAATCCTGGAATAAATCCAGAAATACGAACATATCAAATCCTGATGCTAAAATAATACAAAAAGTACCTCAACAACAAACTGACCTTATGTTCTACCGAAAAGCATCATTCTCTTAGTATTCTTCGAAATGAAAGCCGTGTGCGTACCGAGCTGACGACGTGTTGGCTCCCGGTGGACGACGGCTTGCCGTCTTGGCAATGAACCGATGGTTGCACGGTCGCCGCGGTGCCGAAGTCTAGCAGCGGCGTGACGACGATCTGGTTTGCGGCAAAGGAAAATAAAACGTCGCCGGCCAATCTGTACCTATGGCCTATGGGGAAGCCGAGGACCCAAGCAGGCTGGTGGGCTATGCATGGCGGATGGCCATGGGCCTTACGTTGGGCCAACTCCAATTAACAAATTATTGATTGCAGGCCTGGCCATTAATTAATTGCTACTTACTACTTAGTATATTGTGTAAATTTGGAGGCCCTGAACAGTCGCACACTTTGCACCTGCTAATGTACGGACCTGTTTCCACTTATGACCACCTTTTAATAACAAAGGAAAAAGTCCAAATTATTTCCCCTGTGGTGCTCGCGAACTTCTCACATGACAATCTCGATGACGACCACATCTTATCCTCTCTGTGGTCATCATATCACCATGACGAAAGACAAATCAAACTTAACCACAATCACGGTGATGACACATTCTATTTAATTGTTTCCCCTTCATCAATATCGATTGTGATGCTAAAACTTTCCTGCTTGGAACATAGTGAAAGAGTGGATCAACAATTCAGGGCTACAGCGAAAGCATAGTTTGAGATGGTGAGACTGAGAACACAAGGGGTAAGGAGCGATGTGAGAATGTGAAGTGCTTCATTGCTTTTTATATGGACATGCCAAGAAATTGGTGGCCAGCTTGGATAGCTATTTTGCATGTGTTTTATCCCTCCCATAGATGTTTCATATAGTTTTATTATGTTTTATTACCATGAAAAAACTTGAGTTATAATGCTTTTGAATTTCTACACCATCATCTCTTTCCACACTTCAATCAGTACTGGATTTTTTTTTATTTTCTTTAGAAATATGTTTTGATAGATCTAGACTAGTATAATCTCATTGCCTAGCTACTTACCCGGCAACGAAACCAGAAATGCTTGTTGGCATTCCTTTGCATCACTACTAGTAATGACACTAAGGAATACTGTTGGTATTTAAATGTGACTTAGTATATATATATACGAAATTCTGCAAGCGCACAGATATACCATTGTAGCATTTCACCCGAGAGTATTTTAGGTATCGTTATTTATATTTTTACCTCAGGGAAGGACTGAAAAAGGAACTTTGATCCCTTATGATGGATCAATGAGCCAAACACTTACTCTAAATAGGGGTAAATCAAGAAATAGAATTATATATATATATATATATATATATATATAATGATAAATGTAACAATCAGAGTACTCCATAAGATATCAATAGCAAGTCTAAATAGATACAAGAGAGATTAATTCCTAAATCTTTCTAGTCACAAGTCAAAGTATACGTTGATGTGCATATATACTTAGCAATGATTAAAGGTTACTTCATATCTACGCATAAGGAACATTACTAAGGAAGATCAAGAACAGAGCCTGACTTCCTTCGTAATCGGATCCTACTTGACCTACAAACGAGAGGTGGACTACAAATGACTCAACGAGGCTGTCACCCTCGCGACCTACCACACGATCTAGAATGTGGGGTGCATCTGCAGGTAAACAACGTATAAGCACCACGCTTATACAATGTCAACCACTCACCCCATTCGAGCATAAGAGTGAACACTTTGCGATCCTATGCATAAACATAATAATTATACTAAGCATATAATCAAAGTAAACTATGAACATGATAACTAAGAACATGAATAATATGAAGAACAATATCATAGCAAATGTATGAAAAATAAAGGATACAAGAGGCTTTACTAAGCCAAACTCTTAACAAGATCAAGAATCCAAGCAGGAAGCTTGACTCTCTCTAGATCTAACTTAGTTAGCTATGCCTATGATATTTATGTAGGGAACTCTGAGGTTGTAGCCTCTTCTTGATCAACTCTGATTTCTGATGATGCCCTGTTGGAGGAGGTATGGGGGCCTTTTATAGGGGGCACCAGGAGTCCTGTGGGCCCATGAATCCATGACAACTCTTCATCTGAGCCCTCGACACGAACCGACCTTGATCCATGGCGTAGATTGAATCTAGGAGACGATAAAGAACTGATATAGGAAGGAGGGGCTGCTAGGTGGGGCCAGCAAGCCGGCCGGCCTAGAGGTGGGGCCGGCCAGCCCCACCCTCTGACACCTCGGGCTGGGTCACGGTGATTTGGGGGTCCTCTAAGTCGGTTTCGTTACGGATGATTGTGCTTTGCTCTGACGATTGGGTCCACTTTGCCTGTTTTGTGAATAAATCCTCCTGAAAACACAGATTCACCAAAACTTATGGAATTTGTTAGTTTAAACCCCTAGACCTATGTTGGTGATCATTTTCATGCATTTATACAAGTTATATTGACGGTTTATGATGAGTGTTAACTACCGTCAACAGTGGTAAAACTAGAGTTAAATTTGGACGCTTGTTTGGAATGCGGGAAATATTTTGGCCTATTTGAAACATAGGAATTTCGCAGGAATCGCGGAGAATTTCACAGTAATCTGTTTAATTTCATAGAAAAAACGTAAGAACAGGAAATATTTCCGGCGTTCCAAACAGGCACTAGAAAAACTTTGAATGGTTTTAAAGGCTTTCACATGTGTAATGCGTTTAGATGATGTCAGCTGATTTGTCTCTGCTTCTTCTTTTACCGGAGGTCTCCGCAGAGAGAGACGTTTCTGTTTTTTTTTCCCCTCTCTGCATGACAGAGAGGTACGAGAACGAATTGCTAACGCACGCTATTTTCCTTTTTCTGGCCAGTCCCACGCGCTTGGACGAGGAAACATCCGTCACCCTTGGGACTTGCCTTCGTCGCTGCGTTCACCCTTGACCAGTGGGCCCGTAGCCGGCTAGTCGTGGTTGAAGGTGCACCCACTGATTGAGCGCTTTACACACGTGCTGGAAACATCGATGTAAGGAAACTCAGAGGATCGTTCTTCCTTCACTCCCACTACTTAAAAGCATTACTATGGGAGTTTCAAAAAAAAAACATTACTATGGGACCAAGAATAATGCTTATAGTTAGACTTAAAAGCAAACGCACGAGTACACATAAAGAAGTTGTAAAGTTACATGGCATTGGAGGAGCAATTCCCTGTCGCTGGAGGAGCAAGCCCGGCGGAGCCGTCGAGGCCACGCCGGCCGCCGCTGGGCAAGGCGAGGCCGCGGCAGAGGCGTCGCAAGGCGGGGATGCGGCAAGGCCGGTGAGGCGCGCCGCCGGGCGAGGACGCGCAGGGTGCCACCTGCTTGCCCTCCTCCTCCGCGAACCGATGGTCGTCGTGGAACGCCTGCGGCGGTGGATGTGGCCTTGCAGGCTGTGGTCCCTCAAATGTAGCTGTTCTTCGAAGTGCATTAGTAGCGGTACCGCAGCCAGGCCTTCCTGGCGGTACGGCATCCGGCTCTCGATCTGCTCCTGTCTCGCGAAGCCGCGCCGCATGCCCAGGCAGCGCCGCCCTCCTGCTGCTCGGCGCCCGCCTTTGCCTGGCCGCAGCCGCACTGGCCGAGTGGCGACCTGGTGACACCGCCCGGCAGGCTGGCATCTCGGCGTGGGCAGGCAGGTGGCGAGCTACAAGCCTCTCCGTTGCGTCATTATTTGTTTTTTTTTTCAAATCCCTTTGTGATTGTGACCCAGAATTGCTTTTCGTGGTTGTAGCAGTGCTGTGTCGGTGATTTGAAATTGGTGAACTCAGCTGCCGGAGATTTCTACTTCCTTCTTTGATCATTATATCGGGAACGAATATGGTTGTCTTCTGTGCTTATTTACTTGGTCTGATTGTTTTTTCAGTGTGCTCTGGTGTTGATTTGTGGTTTTTGTAGATGCCTCTGAAAGTTCTGTAAACAAATAAGGCTAACTTTTTTTTTTAGAATTAAACAGTACAACGTTGACGCCCACAACATGCACGCACATGCACCTCTATGAATACACGTACGTAAAGCCTACTCCTATGAGCACCTTCGAAAGACTGAGCCGGCAGATCTCAAGATTCACGAAGTCACCGCAGACGCCTCGCTGTCGACAGGGACGTCGCCTACCACTGAAAGCATAGCGCCGTTAAATCCTAGAATAAATCCGAAAAAATACGAGCACCTATACCAAATTGAGGACTTGAACCCTGGTGGACATGCATATAGTCCTGCTCTGATTTCCTTGATCACACCTCCTGTTTTGTTGGGCTTTGGCCACCTTCTAGTTCCTTTGAACCCTCTTGGGAATCAAAGTGATTACAGTTGGTGCCAACACCGTGATGGCTCCTTTGGGTGTGTTGAGATTGGTATATATATGTTGCATAACAATGATCCCGCCTTCGGATGAAAGCTTTGCCACTTGCATAGATGCCTTAAATTAGTCTGTCTCTTTCCATCAACAATCTAGATTGATATCTTGGTATTTAACCCTCTACTTATCCTGTCTAATTCTCCGCCAATACTTATTTATGTTAGGATCGAATGTGTACCTTTGTGTAACCCGTAGATCCGGGGGTGATCTCTTCCTTTAGGGCTTCTCCACTGCCTGAAAAAAAGCGGGTGAAGACGCCCGTTTAGTGTGTAGAAGACGTCGGTGGTGCTGCAGTGGAACGGTGGAACCCTGCAGGCGCGACGGTGAGCTTGGTGGGGCACATCCGTCATGCAAAGCACTTTCTTTAGGATCGGATTAGGGTTTCTCTCAGAGGTGGGTGGTGGCTCCGTTCAACCTCGTGAACAACTCCTCTATATTGATATCCTGGGGGTAACCGAGTTAGGGTTAGGCCCCGATCGAGGAGGAGAGGCAAGGCCCAATATCCTGGGCCTATTGATGGAGATCAACTAATATTCTTCCCCTTGATCTCATTTCATCTTTCAATTTCATATCATTTACTTTTTGTTCATTCCATTACCAAGCGCATAGAGCATGTGTGGTCCATTGCCGATAGATTCAAATATGAATACAAAACTACTCTATTCTAAAATAGATACTAATCTTTGGGCATTCTTTTGTGAATTTTAGGCTTCCCTTAAAACCATGCTAGCTACATGGAACAAAAAAAATGTTAGGTGGTAAGCCTTTTAAAAAGCGAGATCCGTGAACAGAAACACTTATATGCTCAAGACATGACTTGAAGACTTTATCTTTCACAACATAATACTCTATGTCAATGTGGCAACACACACGACTTATATTGTGAGCATTGTCGCCAAATTATAATCAAGATAACTTAAGTGGTCTATAGATGTGTCAACCACCTTCAAACCGGTATGAACTTCTTTAGTCAGTTCACCTGCCCGTTGCCTCATAACACGCTACAAACCGTCATACATTGTGGACGATGTAGTGATAGTTTGCTTTGAGCTTTTCCATGAAATAGCTCCCCTTTGCGAGATGATAGAAAATCCACGTCTAGATATGTATTCACTCTCGCATAATCAGAATCTGAATATCCCACTATGTGGAGTCAATCAGATCTTCTATACGTCATCATGAGGTCTTTCATTCCTTGCAAATAATGCAAGACTTTCTTTACTAATTTCAGTGTTCTATTCCAGAATTGCTCTAGAATCTGCCAAGTAAAACTCGGTAATAAATGCCAAGTCAGGGCGCATACATACTAGAGCATGTTGCAAGCTTCCGACAGCTGAAGCATATGGAACCACTTTCACTTTATCGATTGAGCTCATATTGGTTCCTGAGGCATTGAAAATCACCATATCTGTCGTCCTTGACTATAGGAGCAGGTGAGGGACTACATTTGTGCATACTGAATTTCTTTAAGATCTTTTCCATGTATGCCTTTTGTGACAGTCCTTATACCCTTGTTTCTTCTATCTCGGTGAATCTCGATCCCTAGAATGAACGAGACTTCACCAAGATCTTTCATATCAAATTTTGAGAACAAAACTTCTTTGTCTCTAGTAGTAGACTGACATCACTACTAGCAAGTAAGATATCATCCACATACAGGACAAGAAAGATAAACTTCCCATTCTTAAACTTTGTATAGACATAATTGTCCTCTACATTCTCTCTAAACCCAAAATTCTTTATTGTCTGATCAAACTTCAAGTACCACTGTCTTTAAGCTTGTTTTAATCTATAAATGGATTTCTTTAGACGGCATCCCATTCGTTCTTTTTCTTCCATGACAAAACCTTTTGGTTGTGCCATGTAAACATTTTTCTCCAAGTCTCCGTTGAGAAATGTCGTCTTTACATCCATCTGATGTAATTCTCAATCGTAATGTGCCACTAATGCCATTATGATTCTGAAGGAAACTTTACATGAGACTGGAGAAAATGTCTCATTGTAATCAATCTCTTCTCTTTGCATAAAGCCTTTTGCCACAAGTCACACTTTATATGTCTCTCTATATTCCCTTGAGAGTCAAGTTTTGTCTTGTAGACCCATTTACAGCCTACTGTTTTGGCTCCTTTAGAAATTATTTTCAAGTCCCAAACTTTATTGGCATTCATCGATTTCATTTCATCTTCCATGGTCTCAAGCCACTTTGATGAATGATCACTTCTCATGGCTTCTTCAAATGAGGTGGGATCATCCTCCATTTGGAATTTCTTAGTGTTGTACACTTCATAATCAGCAGGAATAGCTGATTTTCTAACTCTTTAAGACCTTCTAGGGGCCTTCACATTTTGGCACATCTTCTGTTTGAAGCTGTTGTTGCTCCCCCATATGTGTGGCAATAGGTTCTATGGGATCCTGAAGAACAGGTTCCTCATCGTTATTTATTGTTGCCACAGGTGGGATAACGATAGGTGCTGGCACCACAGTATCTAGTACTGTCGGTGCAGCGACAATAGGTAGTGAGAAAAATGGCTCATGAATCATTGGAGTGGGCGCATACACCCGCTTCACTTTAAGGTCAATTTCTCGAGCTACCATGCTCCACCTCATCAATTCATCCTCTAGGAAGACAGCGTGTCTCGTTTCCACAAACTTTGTATGTCTCTCTAAATAGTAGAAAACAAAAGCCTTTTGACTTTTCTGGGTAGCCAAACAAATGGCAACTTATTGTTTTAGGATCTAACTTTCCAATGTTTAGGTTAAATACTTTAGCCTTAGCAGGGCTCCCCACACACACGCAAGTGGTTTAGTGAGGGTACTCTTTCTGTCCACAACTCATACGTACTTGGTACTCCTTTGAGAATATGAATAGGGTTTTTAACACCTTCATCCACAGGCTCAACTGTAAGGTGGAGTAACTTATTATACTACCCACCATATCCATCAGGGTACGATTGATTCTTTTAGCTACTCTATTCTGCTGAGGTTCGTCCGTTGTAGAATACTGGGCTACTATGCCATTCTTTTAGGGTATGCCGACCGTAGTACTCCCCCACGGTCAGACTTGACTATCTTAATTTTTAATATCTTAAATTTATTCAATATATCTTTTATTTCTTTAATTGGATAAATACAGCCATAATGGGAGTAATCATCTGTGAATGTTATGAACAAAACATAACCATCCACACTCTTTACAGGAAAGCTGACCACAGATGTCTGTGTGAATAATCTATAAAATTCCTGCGCTTCGTTTGTCATCTTTCTTTACATACTTTCCTTTTATGCATTCTTTGCATTGTTCTTAATCTGAGAGCTCTAATGGAGGAAGAATATCATTCTTAACTTGTCTTTCTATTCTCCCCTTCGAAATATGGCCTAAACGACAATGCCATAATTTCGACAACACATCGGATCTCTCTTATGCCACCATTTCCAGAGTAACACTCTGTCACCAGCTGCTTTATCAACTGGGTAGCATATGTCTTTGAAGAGCCAGTGAACTGACTCTTTATTCTATCGAGGTACTCGGTGACCGTGTCACACTCTGGGATTGAGCCCACAATTGCAGGTTCAATCATGTTCTTTATCACAGCCAAATATTTCTTGTTGGCAGTGACCCATTTCCTATGCACAAAAGTCATAGGACTATCTTTTTGGGATTCAAAATCCCTCTCTTTAGTTGCCCAAGTGACATCATTCTCTTTTGTCTCCCTCACCGGTGCCACAAACTCAGTGGAACACGGTGAGGTGACTACCCAGTCCACCTTAGAAAAGATGAAAACTAGGTCAAAACCTTTCTTAATATAAAATAACACCATTTGCATGTCTTGATTCCAACGTTGGTCAAAATCAAAACATAAAATTATTCTTATACACTAATTCTACATCACCGTTGGGCAGAAATACAATTAATGCATAAATCATTAACTTTCACAACTGTTCTTACACACTAATTCTACATCACCGTTGGACAGAAGTAGAATTAATGCATAAATCATTAAAATTATCAACTTTTCTTATACACTAATTCTACATCACCGTTGGGCAGAAGTAGAATTAATGCATAAATCATTAAAATTATGATATTGTTATTAACAACGTTGGTCAGAAAATAACAACATAATAATCATGTCAAATCGTTTTTTCTCCAATTAAATACCATATTGGTTCAAAAAAACTGGAGAATCAATATTTTCTTTAGCAGCGGAAAAAACTTTCTTTTTCTCCAATTAAATATCACGTTGGTACAAATTAACTGGAAAATAAACAATTTCTTTAGCTGTGGAAAAACTCTCTTTTTCTTGAATTTTACCCACAGGGAAAATTGCTTTTTCTATTTCCTTTAATCCATTAATCAATTTCCAGGAAATAAACATTTACTGGAAAAACTTTCCTTTTCTCCAGTTAAATATCACGTCGGTTCAAAATCACTGGAGAATATACTTTTTCTTTAGCAGCGGAAAACATATACTCAATCTCTTGAATTTTACCCACAGGAAAAATTTACTTTTCTATTTTTTCTTTTGAGCCAATTTGCATTTTCAATTTTCCAGGAAAAAGAAAAATACGAAACGGGCTCATTCTTTACTCTTGGTGGCCCAAAACGGCAAAAACCAGCTCGGCCCATCTGTCCGCACGCGCGCAGGCCGCACCCAGGCCGCAACCTGGGCCTGGGCTGGCAAAGTGCCGCGGCGCGCTCGCGCCCGCCTGGGCCGGCGACGACCCGATTTGATCTGCGCCGTTGATTTCGATCCGACGGCCGGGCGCTCATTTCGGGCGGTATAAAAACAGACCGACGCGGGCCTCCTCAGAAACCCTAGCTCACTTCCTTCGCCACTCTCTCTCTCTTCGTTCTCTCTCTGTCGCCGCTCTCTTCTCAGCGCAGCGCAAAACCGAGAGGACACCGAGCGAGAGCGAGCAAGGCGGTGGAGTGACCATGGCGCTGTCGCCGGCCCCCTCGCCGACGCGCGTGCTCCCCAACGGGTGAGCACGCCGTCGTCGAGCGGCCTGGCCGCGGCGCCCCCTTGGCCGAGCTCTTCTTCTCCCGCGCCGACGAAGGGACATCCCGACGCACGGCGAGGTAGATCCACCCCTTCCCCCTTCGGATTTGGATATCCTTTTCTCTTATCCGAACAAGGGTTTAGATCTAGGGTTTGGAATCCGACCTTCCCCTTTTTCCCCTTCTATGATTTGGATTTCTCTTCTCTTATCCGAATCTGATAGGTGGGGATTAGGGTTTAGGGTTCGGTTCCGACCCCTGTTCTTTTTCTTTCTTTGGATTTCCTTTCTTTCTTCTCGGATTCAACCGGTTAGGGATGAGGATTCATTCTAGGGTTAGGGTTTCGGCTCTGTTCATCTTAAGGCCGAAACCTTTTCTTTTCCTCCTTTCTTTAACCCAGTTAGGGTTAGGGTTCAAGTGCCGAGAGCCCTTTCTTTTCTTCTTCTCTGATCCGAAGACAGATCTGATCTTTTCTTGCCGTGCGCCGGTGAGAACGGCGGTGTGGCATCTTTTCCCCCTGCGCGGTGGTGGTGGTGACCGGTAGACAGTGACGTCCGCTACCCCCAGTCCCTTTCCCTTTTCTTTTACCCGGTTAGGGTTAGGGTTACACAGAGGCAACCTAGCTCTGGTACCATTGAAAGAATCGAATGTGTACCTTTGTGTAACCCGTAGATCTAGAGATGATCTCTTCCTTTAGGGCTTCTCCACTCGCCCTGGGACAGTAGCATCGTAGCGGGTAGACGCCGCTGTAACGGTGTAGAAGACGTCGGTGGTGCTGCAGTGGAACGGTGGAACCCTGCAGGCGCGACGGTGAGCTTGGTGGGGCACATCCCGTCGCTGGCAGCACTTCTTTATGATCGGATTAGGGTTTTCTCTGTAGGTGGGGTGGCGGCTCCATTCAACCTCGTGACACGAGCCCAGTTCCCCACTCCTCTATATATATGTGATGTGCGACAGGTGCCCACCAACCAGTTAGGGTTGGGCTCCCCCGATCAGGGAGCAGAGGCAAGGGCCCTAGGCCTATTGGTGGAGATCAACTAACAATATCCGTTTGTATTTCCTATGTCTTGTTGTTATTGCGCCTAACCAAATTAAATTGTTATGGCTATTATCAAATATGAATCAAACTACTTGATATATATCAAAAGTGAACTTCTAGTGAACCACAAAAGGAGGAACAAAACAAGAAATAAAAAGAGGAACAGAAACATACATCGGACAAATTAAGTTACAATCAACTACCTCCAAGGATACAACTTGCATTGTCATCTGTCATGTACCTGCGGCTTGGCACACCTTTCGGGGTTTTTCTACTTCTATGGTAGCACCTGCTCTTTCGGTACTTGTTGGCTTCTCCACGATAAAGATGGCCTTGCCATGTTCAGAGCCCCAGGTGACTGCATATAGCGGCAGATGTGGCTGGCGCAAGAAGCAATCAAGTGCCTTCGGTCTCACCATCTCAGCGACTTGCTGTACGCTAACATCTCTTAGCAGTGGATTGCCGTTCTCTCCTGCAGCAGCAAGGTCTAGTGCCCAGCTTCTCCTCCTCTGCTCCTCCTCCTCCTCCTCCTCCTCTGCCTCATGGTAGCACGCATGAGGAGAGAAGAAAACCGTCATCTTCAGAGGTGGCCTACAACACCTGCTAGGCAACAAGCTGCACTCCAGTGCCGGAACGCAGCACCAAAACGCCAGCACGATGATCTGCTCGGGCAATATCCGGTACAGCTCCGGCGACGAGGCGGCGATGCCGCCGCCGCCGCTAGCACGAGGCCGTCCTCCATGGCCATGCTGCCACCCATTCTCTCTGCAACACACTGGATCCTGACGGAACGCCTGGCTGGCCCTACTATAGTCACCTTCGTCGATGCGAGCCCACGGCGGCGCAATAGAACGGCACATGTCCACCGAGGTAGCCAGCAGCGCGAGCTCCCCGACCGCGGCTTCGCTCACGAGCAGCTTCAGCTGGGACGCCATAGCCCGCAGGCACGCTATCGCCGTCCCGAATATGTCCATGCTCTCGGAGAGCCGGAGAACGATGTGCAGGAGCAGGTTCTTCTCCGGCGCGTCGCGGTCCTGGTACCGGTACTCGAGGATCGTCTCCACGCCGCGGCCTTCGATGCACAGCGGCCACAGGTCGAGGAACCGCAGCACGGATCCCTGCTCCGTCTCGTACCGGAGGTGCTTGCCTTCGAGGAGGCGCCTCACGACCGGGTTGCAGAAGGTGTGGTGCCGGAGCGTGCTGCCGGACTCGGCCACGTCCCGCACGAACCTGCCCGCGCAGTCCGCGAACCACTCGAACCTTCGGACGACGTCGGCGTCGATGGAGGATGACGACGACGAGGAGAAGGACGACGACGAGGAGGTGATGAACGGACGCGCCATGGCCGCAAGAATCCATCGCCTGCGCTTCGGATTCGCCGTCCGGCCTTGCCTTTGGTTTGCTTCTTCTTCTTCGTCGTCGTCCTGCTGCTGGTGGTGGGCAGCGGCTTGCGTGCTGTGCCGCCGCTGCTGCTTGAGCAGCAGGCCCGTGCCCTCGATGTAGGCGAGCTTGAACATCTTCCTCTGGTCGAGCAGAGACACGTCTGTGATGGGCAGCTTCCCGGTCCTCTCCAAGGCGAACTCCAGCTGGCTGACGGCCATCTTGAGCCTCTCCGCGTTGTGCTGCCCTGGACCTGCGCCTGCTTGGGCTTGCGACGCCGGCGCCTTATCCTCGCGCTTGCCGGTGCCGGTGCCGGCCAGCAGCACGAGGCCGGAGACGACTCTGCCCACCACCTCCTGCACGAGGGCTGACGCCACAGCTCCGGCTATGGAATCCGCCATGTCATATGGTACGGGGACTGGGGAGTGCAGCAGTAGCAACCGCAACCGCAACCGCAAACCTATGTTAAGGTGGTGCTAGCTTCTGATTTCAGCCAATGCTTTCCTGCCTTTCTTCTAGATAGATGAGGTCAAGCTGATTGACGCCTGCCACACGGTAACAGCGACATCCGCTAACCAACTGCGTATCCCACGCATGTACAGGTTGTATTCATTTAATTTGGTTTGCTTCCTGTTTGTGTGTTTCTTTCCTCCTGTTTTATAATTTTATTGTTGTTGTTTCTTTTTTATTATTTTCCGTTTCTCTCTCCCTCTCCCAGTTTGTTGCTCTGTTTACTTTGGGGCAGTGCCCGCGCAGTGTTCTCGTGAATCTAGAATATTTTTATTCTAGAACTAAAAAATGCTCCCGCTTAAAACAATGCCACCTGAATAAGCTCAAGTGAGGTTAAACATCCTGCTGTAAGAAGCACACGGTGGTAAAACTAGAGTTAAATTTGACGCTTGTTTTGAAAAACTTTCAATAGTTTTAATAAAGGCTCTCAAATGTGTACTGCGTTTAGGTGATGTCAACTGATTTGTGTCCGCTCGTTCTTTTACCGGATGTCTCCGCAGAGAGACGTTTCTGTTTTTTTTTTTATCTCTGCATGACAGAGAAGGACGGGAACGGAACTGCCATGTGCCAACGCACGCTGTTTTCCATTTTTTCTGGCCGGTGCCACGCGCTTGGACGAGGAAACATCCGTCACCCAGCCTTGGGCCTTGCCTTCGTCGCTGCGTTCGGCCCACGGAATGAAATTATATAATAATCCGGTCACCTTGACCAGTGGGCCAGGGGCGGCTTGTCGTGCATGAAGGTGGAAGTAGTGCGCAGCCTACTGATTGAGCGCTTTTTTTTTTAAAAAAAAAGCCGGCACTGCCGGTGTATGTATTAATAAAGAAGGGTACTCGAGTACATATAAAAGTAAAGGAAAAAGTCTACTCCACCCTTAACTATGGGATGATCTACGTAACCCCCTCAACTATGAAACGGTCTGATTTACCCTCTGAACTTTCTAAAACCGTCTATTTTACCACTCAGGCGGTTTTCAGCGACGGTTTTGCTACAGTAACCGGGGGTTGCTACAGTAAAGGCGTGTTTGCTAAAGTGGTCCAATTTATAACTGCAGCTTCTATGGTCCAATTGTGATGAAATTTTTATAGTAGGTTAATTATTATATGCTAACTATAGTAAAAATTTCGTACTCATTGGACCATGTATAACTTAGTTATAGATAAATTCCAATTAATTACAGACAAAATTAGATTTTCTAATTAATATAAATATACAGTAAAAAGTTTTATGCTAAAGTGTACCATATTATATGTTCACTGTGTAGATCTACTCATGTGGAGTCCAACAAAATTAGATTTTTCATTTTACCTGATTTACTATGATTTTTCAAAGATTCTTGAAATAAGGAAAAAGACAAACCCCCCTGCACTGTAGCAACCCGCCGTTACTTCAATCAACTTTGAAAACCGCACTTGGGGGGTAAAATAGACGGTTTTGAAAAATTTAGGGGGTAAATCAGACCGTTTTATAGTTGAGGGGGTTATGTATACCACCCCCATAATTGGAGGGGTGGAGTAGACTTTTTCCTAAAAGTAAACAAACAAAACCCTCTACAACATCACCAACGAGAACCAGCACACGACCTTAGTAAAAACACGATAGACCACCACAAACAGAGATACCTGCAAACCAAAGCAACCCTACAAATTGTAGCAACCACTATTGTGGGGTTTCACTTAGCGATGCCTCCAAGGAGGAAACGACGTCCACAGACGCCGTCACCAGCAACCGAAAAATTGACATAGGTTTTTCAACCAGAAAAAGAACCCTTAGGTAGAGGCAGGAATGGGCAAGAGGACAAACGACAATGCCTCCAGCGAGGTAAACGACGTACACAGGCGTTGTCATTATCAACAACGACGTAGCCGAGTAAGGACTTCTCCCAGTGCCCCATCCCAAAGCATAAGCCTAAAAGCAAGGTTGTCACCTCCTAGACGGTTTGGTGCTGGTCTCCGTTGAAGCACGCAAAGAAGATTGTGCGGTGCTCCAGAGAAATGATTGAGGGGATTATGCTCACCCCGCGGGAGTCGCGAAGAGCAACTCTAGTAGAGCGAGACGCGAAGGGCGACAAGTGGTCCGCCGGATCAAGTGCTAGAGCTTGTGGTAAACACTCCACGTGGGAGAGTGTGACTTGCGGGTCACCACTAGTAGGAGGAACGGCGACAACCTTGGAGTTTGTCTCAACGGGGACTAGCGTGTTGGCAAGCACGTGAACCTCGGGATAAAAATCACAGTATCATCCTTATCTTCCTGTTGGTTTGTATCCTCATTACACAAGCTTGTATTTACTTCATTTACATTGTGCTTGTGTAGTTGCTCTTGTAATTAGATAGCTTATGTAGCTTGCTAGTTACCTTCTTGCTTGTGTAGCATAGAAGTAGCCCCCTTGCGTGATTAATTCGGTTTGAGTAACCTTGTTAGTCACATTGCTTAGTTTATGTAGCTAAGTAATTTACGCTCTATAATTTGGCTTGTGTAGCTTTATTTATTGAGCATTGCTAGTGAGCTTAGGTGAATTTGTGTTTTTGCTTACTAGCATGTGTAGGAGCTTCCCCGTTGCTTGAAGTACTAGTGGCATAGATTTGTGTGATCTTGCTTTTAGAATTGGTTACGTGAGCTCTAACTATCCCGGCACCTTTGTTGCCTAATTAGAATATTTATAAGGTGCTTGTGAACTTAGATAGAGGGGTATAGTCTTGGCTAGACCGATAACTTTAATTCTATATTTGTTTAGGTAAATCGGTGCGATTAATTTTAGAAAAGACTATTCACCCCCCTCTAATCCGCCATCTCGACCTACAGGAACCTTGTATGGAACTTGTTCTCAGGGTAGCGAGGATTATCAGTGAAGTAATCATCTATGAGAAGTTGGTTGTACAGTTCACGATTCCTTTCTATGTACCTCCTGGTGGACGATTGGCGCCTTGGGGGCGGAGTTCCCATTGTAGCTTGGTTGTTGGTGGCTATCTGTGTAACAATGATGTTGATATTGTTCTGCAGCTCAAGGTAGTCTTCCATTGTGAACACCTAAGTTGGATCGATAATTCCATCATCGGCGTCATCTAAGCTGGACTCTGACATGTCTAAAAGAGGACATACAAGACACTAATTAGTGCTATTATGATAGGCAAATTGCATATGTACAGAAATTATAGCAATATATATAACAGTTTACTAGTCCCAATCATTGCTATCTATATACAAAAGGAACTGCAATTTCCAGAAGCTAACATTGTCTCTCACATGAAGCTAACATTTTGCAAACTAATGTCTATGTTGATTAGTGATTTTTATTCATAACTACGGCTTCTGGTGGAGTACTGGTCAGTGTCGCCCCTACCAGAGAAAGTGGAAGGATGAGCAGCAGCAGATAAGTGAATAACAGGGACACATGAACTTGCAAAAAATTAGCTGGAGCTCACCGACGCCAACATAATCAGTAACTCAACTCCAAATCCCGAACGAACCCAAACCCTATCCCAGCAAGAACAGGTACTAACCTTTCAATTCACCAAAGCTGCCAGAGATATGGGACAATTTGACAGGCAAGTAGCGCAAATAGAGTATGTATCAATCTAATTAGCCGAATCCTAGAGCAATTTGGTGGTGCTGCTTTGCTTCATGGTCGGGAGAGTTGGCGGCAGCGGCGGTGGCAACAGCGTCGCCCGAACGAGCGGAGAAAAAACTCACGGGAGATAAAGAAAAAGTGACGCGACTTTCTGGGCCAGGGTTGGGCACCAAACGACTTGTAGCCTGCGTTGGGAGGCTTGGGAGCCCAGTCTACGTGGCCCGTTACTTTAGTACGAGGCATATGTTTGTATTAGCCTGCAATGCGGAAGCCCTTACCGAAGACTCTGTTTCAAGTTCGCAAATTCTGTTGGTTTGCAGGCTAATACACGGGTAGTTGGTTTGCACCAGATGCGTTCTTCCCCGACCCTCATCCGTTCCCAGAAAAAAAGAAAAAAGAAAAACACGACTAGCCCCTCGCACTTCGCCGCCGCCGCCAACTTCCCCGACGCTGCCGCCCGGGCGCCTCCCTCAGGCCAACGAACGTGCCGCCAACGCCGCCGCCGCCGAACGCCCCAGACGCCTCCCTCAGGCCGCCGACTGTGCCGCCATCGAGCGCCGACGCTGCGACGCCGGACCGTGGCCGGCCGCCTCCAGCGAAGCCTCGGGCCTCGGCCGGAACCCTAGGTCCCGCTCAGCCTCGAGCCTCCGCCCGCTCGGCGGGAGCTCCAGGGGCGGACGGCGAGGAGCGTCCGCATCCCATCGAGCAGCAGCACACCAGGTGTGCCAACCTCTTCCTGCTGTGCGAAACCGAAAATCCAACCCTAACTTAAGCTAATTGGTTGTTTGTATTCGGATCTGATCTAATTACATTTGTGTATATGTATTATGCCTGCTAACTTCGACCCCTTTCAAAAATCATTATGCGTACATGTGCACACCCATGTCCTTTACTGGATCTGCGCCTGCAGTTCTGTGTGCTTTCAAAAATTACCTAAGAATGGAATGCAGATTTGAGACCAAATTTCAGACAATTACATTTTCAAGAAAACTCTTGATGCTCCAATCCATTCATCATGCTCTGGTTATTTAGAATCTCGATCCTTAGTGTGCTCTTGTAGCCGCTGGCCCTCTCCTGCTTCTTGGCTAATGAATCAGTATGGTTATATTTGAAATCAGCTTAGTTAGACATTGCTCAGTATGGTTATGTATTTGATGAAGTTATGAGCTCTGTGCTCAGTTTTCAATGGAATATATTTTTGAACGGCTATGTTTATGCCTTTTTAGTTTTCAGTATAGAACCGTAGTTAGACAATAGTTGATTGTTATAGAAACTTAGAAAGGTGACTATATATCTTTTTTTTTTACTGAGGCTTCATCATGTTAGTTAAAGGCTACAACTTTCAGCACGAGCTGCCATCATCGAAGCAACCAATGTCACCCTTAGGATAAACAGGCATATGAAAAAGTATGCTACTAACAGAAAGCGAGAGATCTCTGAATTTCTTGTCTGTGAATCTCTTACCTCTGACATTCAGTCAAGCTTATCTTTGTTAAAGTTCCTTCCGATTGACTTTGATCATAGTTTATTATTTCTCAGACTTGACGAGGTTATGTTTTCTGCAAGTAGCAGTAGGCTCTATCCTGAGCAGTTAGCAGGTTGGGGCTTGCTATTCAGGGATTGCATATTTATTTTATATAAGTAGTATCATGCTACTTCAGGATAGGCAGACATTAGTAGTATGTATGGTAAGCCTATATATTCTTAAGTCTCCTGCTAATTCAGGATAAGCCTACTGCTAATTCCTGAGCAAACATTAGTAGTATGTATGTTAAGCCTATATTGTTAAGCCTACTGCTAATTCAGGATAAGCAGATATTAGTAGTATGTATGTTAAGCCTATGTAGTAGTATCCTGCTAATTCAAGGATTGCCTGAGCAGTTAGCAGTAGGCTCTATCCTGAATTTATTCTATACTTAACCACATACTCTATCCAGCAATTAGCAGTTAGCGGGGTTGGGGCTTGCTCTAACACCAAACTACCAAACTCAGCTTATGCAAGCTTAATTAATCCTGCATGTTTTGCTTATTCCCTCCTGATCAAAAATAGAAACTATGCGCCAGGTTGTTGAACTAAGTCTAACAGTTGCTCCCCAATGGATTCTTAATAAACATGCTACCTCAGTGTATACTATAGGAGTATAGGGTGCTTGTCAGAGATGATTCTTTCAGTGCGGAAACACCATCAATCTGTCATATGTGGAGGATGATAACTCATCACTGCATATACTATTTTTTCAATGTCATCATCTAAGAACCGATTTTTCAATGTCTGCATCTAATATTGAAATCTAGAGACCAAGATCCAGGATTCTAGAGATCGATCATATGTCCATCCCATGGTATAATGCTCAAAATTGGATTCATTTTTTTGGAACGAGAACAGCAAGATATGCTGAAGCCACGGAGCGGCTGTTTAGACGGAGCTGATTTTTTTAATCATCTATTGGAGATGTCCATAGTTTGTCTTTGTTTTGTATAGCTACTGAATTGAATAAAGCATATTTTGTCCTAACTAATGTCCTAGCATATTTATCCATTGGGGAGAAACTGACTTAGTTCAGCAACCTGGCACATAGTTTCTATTTTTGATCATGAGGGAGTAAGTTCAGTATGCAGGCATACTGAATAATATTCAGTAATCTGGCGCCTTTCTTATTGGCAAAGAACGATTCATCCTCTTGATTTATTCATTTTAGCTTGCAATGATATATCCTTGAGCTAGCTCTCTAATACTCCTTGAGCCAGACTCGATTTTGCCATTGTCTCAAAAACTACTATAGTTTTGACTTGGACCTCAGTTGCTCGTGCAATAGAATGCAATACAGTTCACCGTGATCTGCAACCTATGTCTCTTTTTCCTGATCCAGCTTCCTAGATGAGCAGTTCCGGTTGTTTATAATAATCTAATATGCCATTCAGATTTCACACCGATTATGTCACACTGACTATCAATCTCCTATCTCATGCAGAATTACTTTGGTGCTTCTCTGACTGTATCAACCTGAAACTCAGAACTCAAGTTACTTTGGTGCTTTTCTGGTAATAAATCTGCACCCTGATTATGGCAAGGTTTTTTATATTGGCCAATTTATTTGCTAAGTTGCCAAACTGTGATAGACACATATATGAACCACATTGCATTGTATGTCAGGGTAGGCCCTTGAACTTTCTTCATTGTAATATATATACCATTCATGGTGCCCTGAAATAACCATTAGAAAAGGTGATTATTAGATAAACATTATTAATCTCAGACTATGTCAACGCACTTCAGCTATATATGCAAAATCTCAGAGTCATGTCAACCTACTAACTGTGCCGTTAGGTTCTTTCCTATGGTTCATACTGTTTTTGCCACATTCAGTTTACCTGCACAAGGGTCCTGGCTGGTGCTTGCCTTCTCTTCGTGTGTACATCTTTTGTAGATTGTTACCTTCCTGTGATTGGGATTGTGACTGCTACGTGTATATATGAGCTCCACATCATAGTTGTATGCATCACGGGCAAAAAGCTATGAGATAGATAGTTGTGGAGAACTTATCTATCATGCACTTGTTTTGACACTTACTAAAGTTGATGCCTATTTATTTGAATGTGCCTCATAATAGTATGTTGCTAAGCTGAGACTGAGTGTTGATTTTGATCCACAATTTTTTTTCATACCCAATAGAAATTTTTAGGCTCCCGTAGCAACACAAGGGCACCATGATAGGAGTTAAAACATAATGTCATTTTGGTTGTTTGATTTGCATCAGGATTTGTCCCCGTATTCCAGTTGTGATATTTTTGACACATGGCAACACACAAGGTTTCTTCTGTTTTTGATAATTCTTGTGTGGTGGTCTCCAATCAGAGTTAATGTTGATATTGTAGTAGATTACAATGACTTCGTTCAAAAATCTAATGTATCTTACGTGGTTTGGCCATGCTTGAATTGTAGTTAAATGGCCTTTTAAATGTGCCCTGTAAGGTTATGTAGCTGATCAATAATTCCATCATCCATCATGCAAACTTGGGAGAATACAAACAAGCTGAACTCATTTCTACTGAAGAAAGGGCATCTCATGGCATCGGATTAACCAAACATTTCATCAGAGACCCACTATTGCAGGTACCCGATACCCTACACTGCTCATTTGTCACTATGTAGTTAGAATTATAAATAATCCAAAAAAGATCTTTACATCTATGCATTGCATAGAGATTAATTGGTTAGTATGGAGGAGGCTATACAAAACTACTAGCTGTGTTATACCATCGACAATGCAAGTATTTTATTTGGTTGCACATTCAGACTAACTAAATTCAGAGCAGATTAATTGCTTGGGACTGCAAGTTGCTACTCCGTGTGACAACGAGGCTGGCAGTAGCAGTATCTGGCTTCCATGAACTGGAATACTCGATGGCCTGGCATCCAACGCTGGCACACCATTTTTTTTTTTGATAAAACACACCATCTGTTTTTGTTTCCTAGCATTTAGCTACTTCTTTGCATGCGGCATGTAGTAACTATTATATATAAGAGAGAATTCCTTATTTGACACCAGAGAAATGACCCGTTCCTTTATTGGCCCTCAAAAAATTTTCGTTCCCTATTTGACACCGAGTTTAACTTTCGTTCCTTCCGTGACACTCCGTCGCATTTTCCATCCAGCCACCGTTAACCGCGCTGTGAAAAGACGATTTTGCCCCTGTGGGCCCCACCACCCTTCTCCCTCCTCTCCTCCTCCAGGCAGTCGCCTCACTCCCTCCGTCTCCCCGCAGTCCCGCGGCTAAAGGCGCGCCTGTCCCTCCCGATGGCGCCCTCCACTCTCTCCCTCTCTCCACTCTCTCTCTACCTCCAACTCTCCATTCTGAGCCCCTCTCCCTCCCGAGCATGGCGGTGGTCCTCCCTTCCCTAGGCGTGGCGGCGCCCCTCCCTTCCGCGCTCCTCCCTCTCCTCGATGGCGACCGGCGGTGGACTAGAAGCGGCGACGACGGTGGTGCGGTGGAGCAGGCGGACGCGAAGACGACGGTGGAGTCCGGCGAGATCCGGCCTCAGGGCTCGCGGATCCAGCAGATCCAGCCTCGGGGCTCACGGATCTGGCCTCAGGGCGCGCGGATCCACCCACGGATCTAGCGAGCTCGCCGGCGGCAAATCGAGGGCGGGCATGGGCAAGGCAGCGGCTGGATCTGTTGGTGGGGAAGCCGGATTCGGCTCAACGGTGGAGGATGCACCCCGGCGGCGGATCCAGCGAGCGTCGACGGCTGCCCGTGGATGGGCTCAGCGGGCCCATGGGTGGCGGGGACGGCCGGCGCCCTTCTCCTCAGGTGGCGTGGCCGCGGACTGGGGGAGGACACGACGGCCTGGAGGAGAGGAGGGAGAAGGGTGGTGGGGCCCACAGGGGCAAAATTGTCTTTTCACAGCGCAGTTAACGGTGGTCGGATGGAAAACGCGACGGAGTGTCACGGAAGGAACGAAAGTTGAACTCGGTGTCAAATAGGGAACGAAAAAATTTTGAGGGCCAAAAAAGGAACGGGTCATTTCTCTGGTGTCAAGTATGGAATTCTCTCTATATATAACTATCTGTATTTGGCATTCCAAACATAGATCCTAATGTCTAACGACCTTGATTGACAGCTGAAATAGACGTGTTGTAACGTGTTGTAATGAATTCCCATGCAAGTTTCGCAGTTGTGGATTGATGGGACCAAGATTGATTCATCTTATATGTATGGTTTGATTAATATTTCATTTGCACTTGTATCAGTGATGCAAATTAATAGATCATGTGTGGCTTTAACTTCATTATTGGTACCAACAGTGTTTTGAAAACCTTTCTTATGACAACAAAAAAATTAGATTAGATTAACATAGTTTTGTCACCCGTGGCGACGCACGGGCATTAGCTAGTAAAGAAACATAACAGAACTTTATTCTAGTTCTTGCAATTTTGAACCTTACTTGTTAGCTCAAATGTTGCTTTGCTACGATTTAGTATTGTCATTATAATCAATCAGTACAAGAAGATAGTGTATTTAGAAAGAACAATTTGTAGAACATTAAATTTTCCTTCTCTTGCTTGGCCTTGGCCACCTGAGAAGATAATGTACTCTGTGGCAGAAAGAATTATTTGTAGAACTGCGTGTTTTCCTTCTCTATAATAATAGGGAACAATGTTTTTGAGGCGCGGTAGCGAGGCGCGGCGCCTGACCCTCTTCACAATGCCTAGGCGTTTGTGGCGGACGCCTAGACGACGCCATACACACATTGTAAGACATTGTAAGCTATAATTGTATATACTAGTGCAGCACATACATACCTCGTTTGTTGCCAATTCTTGAGCCCATGTTCCTTTCTTTCCTTTCCAAAAGCTCTTCTCCCATGTAGCATCCAACCCCTTGAAGGAAACTGCATGACAATTAAAGAATTCAGCAATCAAACAAGTTATCAGTTGCTGAGGATTAAATAGGAAACAATACACAAGAGGCAAGATAACAAATTAGCAAGCATTAGTGCATGCATGAGCATGACAAATGACATCATAGTCTATCTCAAATAGTCCACAAACTTAGAATGAAGTACTGAACTCTAAAGCATACTAATTAAGTCAACTACACCAAAGCCATTCAACAGGAGTGCAGGACAACACAAAAGTACAGCAAGGGTGCAGGACACAAAAGAATCCATCAGCAGGAGTGCAAATCTCTGTTTCAGCACTCAAAATCCATCATCAAACTCATCAGGATTAGCAGCCTTGTCTTCTTCAGTAGCAAGAACATTGCCATCTTCTTCACACTCGCTCACTTCCGCATCATCATGTGGGTCTTCAACTTCATCTTCCTCTTCTCCATCTTCAGTAGCAGGAACAGGAACATTTCTTGAACGACTATAATATTGAGTAACAGTAGCTCTCCTAGGAAGATTACGACCCTACAACGCTTGTGATGCACTGGTGGCTTCATCAACATGCTGCCATGTGAGCTCATTGACAGCATCAGACCCTCGAGCACTCAGAATGGGCACATGCAATGAATCAACCCATTCATTGTCCCAATCAAACTCCTCAACCAAAGGGTCATATTTCTTGCTTGCCTTCTCACGCATAAGCTGAAACCTTGTTCTCATCTTCCGATTGTATGAAACAAAAACAATATCATTCAATCTCTTGTGCAGCAGCCTATTCCTTTTCTTTGTATGCATCTACAAACAAAAAAGATCAGATGGGAAGCAAAACAAAAAATCAGATTGTATGCATCTAGATAGAAATTGTTAATCACAAGGATACTCACAAAATTGAAGGTACTCCAGCATCTCTCACAACCAGATGATGAAGCACAAAGACTAACTATACGCTTAGCAAGTCTTTGTAGTTCAATGGCTCAGCCACCATAAGAACGCCACCAATCAACTGGATGAAAAGTACAACACATATTAGGAGTTTGGAATGCAATTAAGTTGCTGAATTTACAAACTGAGATTAACAACACTTACGAGGACTCATTTTGTCGTAGCTTTCCTTTGCCATTTTGTTTGAGAAGGCATCTCCATGTTGCTCTTCATACTCAATGGCCTGCTATTGATCTTCATTTGTGTTTCCACATCTGGTATCATTCTTCCAAGCACTTCAATAAAACAACCTCTTAGCTGCCCAACAGTGGCATCATTATTAGCTTTTACAAGAGGATAAAATTTCCCTGGATTCAAATATAGTGCAGCCCCATACAATGGATGCTCCATTTGGTTCACCCAACGCTTCTCAACAATGTCCATGATACGCTTGAGCAGGCCCTGCTTGGTTGATATATTGAAGCTGAGCTTTATCCTATCTTTTGCATGATTCATTAGAGTTGTGACCTCTAGCATTGCAGGCTTCTCATCACCATCAATAGCCCTCAAAACAATTAAGAGTGGGGCTGAAGCTCTTAGGCAATCTTCTACTGAGTTCCAAAACTCAGTAGATAGCACAATGTCTTGCACTTGTTGACCTGCTGTAGTTGTACACAAGTTGTTCCCAATCCATGCTTCACTAACAAACAAGCTCTTCAAGGCATCCTTATTCTTGTACAAACTCTTCAATGTCAGAAATGATGTGGCAAATCGAGTCTTTGATGCCCTAACAAGATCAGTCCCACCTGTTTGAGCCCTCATTGCACTAAGAAGCCTCCCATGCCTATAAATGAATGTGGTGACACGCCTAGCACGTGCAATAGGTTTCTTAAATGCCTTCAAGTTCCCAATTTCTTCCAACATTAGATCCAAGCAATGTGCAGCACAAGGACTCCAAAACAGTGTGGGAATCCTATCCATCAAAATCTTACCAACAGCCTTGTAGTTAGCGCCATTGTCGGTCACAACTTGAACAACATTGTCCTTTCCAATGTCCTCAATCTTCTCCTGTAACAAATCAGCTAACATTGTTGCACTATGAACTTGACTTGATGCATCAACTGACTCCAAAAAGTACGTTCCCTCAGGGTTGTTCACAAGAAAATTAATCAAGTGGCGCCCTCTCATATCAGTCCATCCGTCTGACATTAGTGTACAACCATATTGCTTCCAGGCCTGCTCATGGTCCTTCCTCATGGCACTTGTCACCTTAACACATTCTTGAAGCAAAGGTTCACCAAGCTGTTGGTTAGTTGGAGGCTTGTACCCTGAACTATATTGGGATGTTGCCTCACAGGCAATTTCAAATTGCCTTAAATTTGTTGCATTAAAGGATACACCACACTCCATGAACCATAGTGCCCATTGCAAATCCACATATTGCTTCTCCTCCTTAGTCTTTGTGCTGGACTCAATGGTGGGTTGAAAGTCCTTTGCACGCCTTTGATCTACTATCTGTTCAAGTGTTCTTCTAAGCATAGCAACAACAGACTTTGTTGTCTTTGGTGTCTTTGGTGTTGAATTGCCATTGCTAGGTCTTGAAGCCTTGAATTGATAGGTAGCATGCCTTCTCTTGGCGGCTGTCCCAGAACTTGGTTTTTTGCACCCGGTTTTGGTGTTGCACCTCCATCTGCTCCTGCTTGTACATCTGCTGCTGCCACCTCCACAACTTAATCTTCCCCATCTTCCTCCTCAATACCATCCAAGAACAAAGGCCTTCTTCTCTTCTTTTGCAAGTAAGCTTCCATCTCTTTCCTTATTTCAGTGGTAACTTTTGGACAAAGGACAATATCTCCATATCCACCAGCCAAATGTTGCTTGAACCTCTTTATGCCTCCTGAAGCCTCATTTCCACACAGGATACATGTCACCCAGTCTCTCCTAGCAGGGTCCTGCCAGTAGGCATATTTCCAACCTGGATCATTAGACTTCGCTTTCCTTGCTGGATCAGTCTTGGGATCATAATCAGGTGCTTCACTTGAGCTTGCCATGTTGTTGGATGCTACATAAAAAAAAAGCAAGAGCCTTATGTTCAGGAAAGCAGAGCACACGCCATATTCAGAGCAGACAGAGCATAGCATAGCAGAGCAGAGAGTATACAATATCCAGGTTCAGAGCAGAGCACGAGGAGGCAAAGCAGAGAGTATACAATATTCAGACTTCAGAGCAGCAGTACAAGTAGAACAGACAGTAGAGTACACGAGATTTGGAAAAGGGCCCGACGGAAGACAAGCAGAGCAGACAGTAGACAAGCAGATAAGCAGAGCAGACAACAGATAGCAGAGTGGAGGCGGGGGGCATACCAGGCGGAAGGGCCTGACGGAGGCGCAGTCAAGCGGAGATGTAGGGGCGGAAGGGCCCGACAGGCTCCACGGCAGGGGCGGACGACCAGGTGGAAGGGCCCGACAGGCTCCACAGCAGGGGCGGACAGCCAAGCGGAGATGCAGGGCCGGCCGACCGGTGGACATGAGCAGAGTAGCAGCCCAGCGGAGGTCGAGGTCCATCTGCCGCCTTCTCTCTTCCCCTCTCCTCGCCCGCACTCGCGGTGAATGACTCGCGCGCTAGATTTCCCACGCGAAGAAGCTACCTGGGCGCCCGCACGGTCGATTTCCCGCACCTCTTACTTTTCCCGCGGGCGTGTGGTCGATTTCCCGTGGGGCCGTGCTCCTTTTGGCGCCCTTCCCCTACGACCGGCATCTGGAGTCCGTGGCGCGGTTGTAGGCGTCCGCCCGACGCCAATCGCTCCTAGGCGACGCCTAACCCTATGAAGCGGACGCCATACACGCTGAGGTCGTGGCGACCCCGACGCCCAGGCCCTCGACCACGCCTTGTCGCCTAGGCGACGACTCAAAAACATTGATAGGGAAGCTTGGTCACTTAAAGGCATGGAATTTGGGAGACTTATAGAACGCATGCCAAGAGGATGCCAGAAGGTCTTATCGTCGACTATGGTAATACCTTTTTTTGATTATGTAATCCTCCAATCCTTTGTATGTGTGGTTTATGAAAACCATGTTTCTGGTTGCTGCTTTTCCTCAGACGAAGAATTACCAAGTGAGAAGACTACATAGTCGGCGACCAATGGCAGTTGTTCATGCATCGGCTTCGTGGCTTGCAGCGGTCTGCGGTGGCTATCCTTGCATGGTAGTGGATAGTCCGGTGCATGACAACGTCGACAGATTGCACAAGTGGCAACGTTGGTGCGGCAACTACACATCCTGCAACGGCTTGCAGTGGCTCGCTCTGCACGGCAGTTGCTTGCTAGGTATGGGACATCGTATTTATTGGCGGCCCAAGCAGTAACAACGGTGCATCGACTTGGTGGTTTGCTGGCACTCGCTGGTTGGTTTCTGGGCTGATAAGCCCGGCTGGTGCTTATTTGTTGTGAGAGGAAAACACTGTATCATGGCTGATAAGCCCTGGCTGAAACCAACAAGCGAACGGGCTGAGTGTGTGGTGCTGGGATTGCGGAGTGGCAGTACTTGTATAGTTAGGTGCCTTCTTTTGCTAAAGTAGTGGTTTGATGTCTCAATCCAACCGGCTGGTGTAGTCCATGTTATTGCTTTTAGTTGTTAGTTTAGTTTTTTTTTCTTTTTTTCTTTTTTGCTGTTTTGGTTGTTGTAGTTGCTCGACCTTTTGAGGTCTTGTCACTCTGTTGTTTTTGGTTGTTTTTTTTACCTAGTCTAAGCTCGTCTTTTTTTTTAACATAATCGGTTGCTCTCCTGCCTGGTTTGTTCAAAATAAAAAGAGACCCCCGTTGATGATGAGGACAGTCTGGTACCATATATTTCAGATGGACATGAATTAAGTTTGGATAAATTTGTTGTAGGACATCATTCAGTCTTTGTATTTGCTAATGCACACTACTAAATGTTGTTTTCGCTAGAGGATACTCTTCAGTTGTGGCAATTGACCCTTAGACACTATAGCTATTAAATAATAATTTCTAGGAGTGGATTGGAGAGAAAAGTTAAACGCTCTGTTTGGCTGATACATAAGCCGGCTGAACCTGTTTTGTTGTGAGAGAAAAATACTGTAGATTCTAGCTGATAAGCTGGCTGATAAATTAAAGCGAACATGGCCAAAAAAATGATCATTATACCCTGATTATTATACCACAACACTTAATAATTATCTAAAAAAATTCATAATTTTTTATATGAAGTCATATGAAGATAAACTTTATATCAAAATTGGAGAGCCCAACGAGCCTACAACTCTGTTGTTGACAGCTTTCTACTTTGAAATTATTTAGAATGCCAAAAATTCTTTTTAAAATTGTTAAATTTTGAAATTCAAAATTTAGAATTTTCGAACGACCTCGAATGTTAACATGGTTTCTCAATACGATCTATAACCTTTTAGTTGATATTTTTTTTATCTGGAGGCATTTAGAATCCTAAATATTCATTTTGTTTCCTCCAATTTTGAAATTCAACATGTACTCCCTCGCCTCAGGATACTCGGCGCAACTCAAAAATTGCAAAGACAGAGGAAGACATTAATCACCGCTCGTTCCTAGAAAAACCGTTCAGTTCCACCCTGTAATAACTCGACGCTACACATTTCCGTCACGCGCCGTTAGCCGAGCGCGCGGCGCAGCGCTACGGCTTCTCCCGTGCATGCATGCACCCTGCAGCCGTGCTCTTCTTTTTTCCGGGCCCGCGGAATCCTTCCGGCTTCCATCCATGTAGCCGCGCGAATTTTTCTTCTGGCCTACACGCATGCATGCAGATGCAAATCTCACCCCACGCGGCCTGCTAATTTTTTTTCGGCATGCATCTACGCCCGCGCTATTTTTTTCAGCTGGTGACGCCTAATGAATTTGGCGCGTATGAAAATATTTTGGCAAGTGGCGCGGATGGCACGGACACGAAACGCTCAAGCGCGGCGGAGCTCTAGCTGCGCTTGCCGCTGCATGCATCAGGCACTCACGACCTGCCGCTTCACCACCTGTCCTTGAGTCTTCTCCGACGCGATTTCTTCCATCACCATCGTCTGTCACATGCAAGGGAAGTGCTAGAGAGGGAGGCGAGAGATGCATACTAGGAGTACTACTCGGGGTACATAAAGACTCAGTTGACCGCGCCATGAGAGTAACGTCTAGATTCTAACGGGAGGGGTGTGGTACGAGGAGTGACACATGCGGAACCAGCGCCTAGTATCGTAGGACAAATCAAAAAGTTGTTACGCCTAGTATCCTGAGACGATTTCAAACGACATCAAATTTTGAATTTCAAAAATTTGAAAACATAAAAAGAAATTTTGACACTGTAAATTCAAATAAAAGGTTATCACTATGAAGATGTAAATCTCATTGAGCTCCACAATTTTGATATAGAGTTTGTCCATATGAGAAAGTTACAGATTAGAACATCAAATTAATATTTAGAATATCAAAACACATCAAATTCATGAGATGTGTTTTGATATTATATTTATTTGAACTTGTAATTTTAATATTTTTTTAGAAAAAGAAAACTTGGTTAAAACTAGAGAAGTATGACTTAGGACAGAGCACCTCTCAAAAGCGTAGTATCGCTGGCTACATCTTCGCCCATCGATTTCACCAAATGGGGATTTGACTGGATGATTCATTCACACAAGTCATGAAGACGTTGTACATCAGTTCAGTCCTGAAAGCTCGACCGCGTGGCGGTTGTCGGTTGAATCGGTGCTGTACTTACTACTACTAGCTTCTGCTGCTTCTCCCATCTCTCGCCAAGTCTCCTTACCTTCGAGCAAACTCAACACCTCACGCATCGTAGGTCTGTCCATTGGGGAGTGCTGTGTGCAAAGGAACGCAATCTGGATCAGCGATTCTACCTCGGCATGTATGCAGTTTTGCTGTATATCTGGATCAATGAGCTTCACCAGGTTTTTCTCCTTTAGTAGTCCCTTGACCTGCACAAATCACGTATACTCACTGTTATGCCAACCAAAACAGACATTTTATCACAAGGATACAACTAAACGAAAAATCTCACTCAAAATCAAGGTGTTCAATTGAATTGAAAAAAAAGAAATAGAATATACACCCCATATGCTAGTTTAGCTGTAAGCCATGCTCCAGTTCAGAAATAATATATTCTTCATTAGACGCTACTGAATGTCTGAATCTCTATTTGCTTATGGATGAAGTGATTAACAGATCTTTTTTTTTATAATAGTATAGAAAACCTGAGCATCCAACCCCAATGCAATATCACTGTATCAATCTACAAAAGAACATGAAGACCTTATTGCAATTTGAACTGAATAAATGACATTAGTAAATTACCCAGTCAAGTAGCATGACACCTCATCAAGGGCAAGGCGAGCACGATCAAAGGCACGCTGTCCTGAAATGAGCTCCAAGAGCATAATTCCGTAACTGAACACATCAGCTTTCACGGAGCATCTTCCTGTTGAAAGATATTCAGGTGCAATGTGCCCGATTGTTCCACAAACTGCAGTAGTTATATCGGTAACTATGCGATCCATCGGTTTGGCCAAACTGAAACCACCCACCACTGCTTCAAAGTCTTCATCTAATAAAATATTCGATGCTTGGACGTCTCGATGGATAATCCTTTGAACACACTGGTCATGTAAATAGGATAGACCACGAGCAGAACCTAATGCAATCCTTGTCCTCGTTTGCCAATCTAAAGGGGGTTCAGACGGTTGCCGTCCTACAGAAAATAAACCAAAGCAATAAATATTTCGGAGTTGGAAATGTTGTTAAGAAAGTAGAACAAGCTGGAAAAGAAACGGCAATGAAAAGGCTGTACGACTGGAGTAAACAAGACAGAGTACCTCTTAAACGTCGTGCAACACTTCCATTAGCCATATATGGATATACAAGCACCATTTCTGTTTGTGTAATACAGAATCCAAGAAGACGCAATAGATTTCTGTGTGCAACCGTACTAGTAACCTCAACTTCTGTTTGAAACTGTAGTTCCAAACGAGGTGTCCGCTCCTCCTTCATTCTCTTAACAGCGATTAAAGTTCCATCTGGCAGCCGTCCTTTGTAGACTTTGCCAAATCCACCTCTTTCAAGAATGTTCTTATTGCTGAAGCCATCTGTTGCCACTCGTAGTTCTTTTATCGAAAATCTTTTAAGCAGGACACGCTCGGCTGCCAGCTTGGCTGCCACAAGTAGTTTGTGGTCCTCCGTGGTTTGTTGTCGACACCATGCAAAACATGTTGCAGGAATAGCAAACAGCAAGGAAGCACCAGCAGCGACTCCATCAGCAACTGCTCCAATACAAGAGGAACACCTTCCTGCATGAAGTAACAAATCAGCACCAAACTCATAGGAGAAGGAAAAAAAGATGAGGAAGTAGGTACTGAATTACTGAAGCTTCACAAAAGATTCTTATAGTCCCAGTGAGTTACAGGTCATGTACCTCTTATATAATCCCACATCAGTAGGTTAACATCAGAGACTCAATCACACCATAATAATCTTTGATTGCACGCCAGGGCAGGTGGCAGGGCGGGAGCAGGGGAGAGGAGG